AGAGTTTAGTTGGGCCTATCATCGATAATTATTCCTGAAAATAAATATTTCGGGGGCGGGGTGTTACATTTTTCTTCTATACCCAACCAAGTCTTCGGTTATAATATCCATATGATTACAAAGTAAAGTTTCTAAACTCAAGGTAGTCATTATCTTAGGTTGAGGATATTATAATAGGAAAACTAATGAAAATGACTTGAAAACTTTGAGTTTTAACGATAAGGACAAAATAAAGGGTAAAGTCTATAGTATCAAGATTGACTTTTTAGTGTTAAAATATGGTTTTTCGTTAAAGTGAATAGTACCGAGAGTTTTTCGTTAGAGTTCCCTATTATAATCAATATGCACTAGCACTGGATGTTATAAGCACCAACATTGGAATAAATAAGCACCAGCATTGGATGTTATAATTGAAATGGATCTTATAATCAATATGCAATTTCTATGGAAAGTGAATGTTGTGATTTAGCTTAGGTTTTTTGTTTTTTTAATTTATATATATATTAAAATAAACGGGTAAACAAGTACCAGTTTATAACCATGATTAATACTCATAATCGCTCATTTAAATTTCACGTGTAAACAGTTATACCATAACTATTTAATTATCCAAAAGGGTTACCCATAACCGTAATCGTGAAATTTAAATAGGTGGATAATCGCAGTTACCCATAACTGATTGGTATTTGCCTATCCCTACTTCCTCCTTTATCTTCATTTTGTTTCAATTGTCTAGCTTGACATCACTTTTGAAAAGAAAAGAATAAGAAATGTTAATTGCTTATTGTAAATAGGCAAACAACCCAATAACAGATTCGCTCCAAACTTCTATTAAAGCCGACAACTTTCCATCAAATCGAAAACCAAATAACATACTTACAATAATTACAATATACGCAAGTTACAATCATTTGCAACATATTTGCAATAGCCAATTTCAATATTATCATTCAAAATGAGATCCCTATGATTCACAAAAAAGCTAGTCAACAAACCAAATTATTCACAGTGTAAGGCTAAGAAGCCACAACCTAAGGTTGTACAATTAGCAAAATAATATCCACACCAAAAGGCATCCCATAATATTATCATCCACTTTGTCGCTTAGAAGCTTTTGGACGAACATTTTTTTGTGTTCGGAATCTATTGACCTAAACACTCCCACATTTTGTGGTTTTTCCAAAATAAGAGTCAGTCCATCAATTTGATCAATAGGAGAAAGACCCATTGCTTTAAGTTCGTTAGCTATATCACTATGATCTGCAATACCTCAAACTATAACTTCAATTACCATTTGCGTCATTTTCTCACATTCAACATAATATTTTTTTCAGTCCATTGAATTACCTTAGTTCCATCATTTGAACTTCACGTGCCTCTTTTCCTCTTTCTTTGACTATTGAAAATTGGTTGCTTTGTTGGCTTTGCTGGTCCATTGGAGAAACATCATTTTCAGCTCCAATATCACATGCATCAACCTCAATATGGCTTTGCTCCTCCATCATTTCAGTAGGGGTTCTACCAACATTACCTGTAGCACGATCCTTTCCAAATATATATGCAAATGTATCATACAGTGAAAAAAGTTTGCTTCTCCATCCTTTGACATCTTTATTTTTCTAAGATTATATTAACATAGCAATATTAAAATTTAGCATATTAAAAAATATAGCTACAAGAATATAACTAATCGGTAAATAATATAGGATATCAACCTTCACATAAGTTTGCCATGCTTCTTCACTATCAACTTCAATGCATTTTTTGACATCATTCCATGCAAATCCACTTGTGTTCATCATGTCAAGGACTAAACTATATGTTTTTTTTCCATCTCTTCAACTTTGACTCAATATATGGACTTGCCTTTATATTCGCATTAGGACATAAAACATTGACAGCTTTTGCAACTTTAATCAAAGTACTTTGTTTGAAAGCATATGTGTGGTGCTTCCTAGTAATAAAATCCTCAAGAACGGATAGAATGATTCTTCTTCAAATGCTTCCCATTTATGCCTCTTTCCTTTTGGCTCTTGAACAGCATTCAGATTATTGTAATTAAAGCATACAAATCAATTTGCATACAATCCGATCAATGAAAACGAATTACATTCAATGGTTTGCAATCCACTCATTTTGCATAATATTGAATCACTAAAACGAATTACATTCAATAATTTGCAATCCAATCATTTTGCATAATATCAAGCATATGCATAAAAAAAATTAAAAAAATTAAAAAAAAAAGGAAACTAATGAAAAGAGCTTGAAAACTTTGAATTTTAACGATAAGGACAAAATAAAGGGTAAAGTGCATAGTACCAGGATTGACTTTTTAGTGTAAAAATGTGATTTTTCGTTAAAGTGAACAGTATCAGGGGCTTTTAGTTAAAATTCCCTAAAAAAAAGGATAACTAAAATAAAATTTTATCATTAATACATATATCTAGTTCAGTTGTTGGTTCCTAATTACTCCCCACTCATTATACATTTCCTGAGCCATGACATTCTTCTTTGCAATATACTGGTTAGATGCTCTAACAGTACCAATATATTCACATTCTTCCGTATTTTGTCCATCTTCTATTACTGGCAAATTCTCAATTGGATCTATAAATATCTCTTGCCTAATAAGATTGTGTAGTAGACAACAAGCAGTAATTACTTGACCTTGTGTCTTTATGGAATAGAAAGATGGACTCCTTAGTATCTTCCACCTTCCCTTTAGCAAGCCAAAACAATGCTTAATTACATTCCTCGTCTTGAAATGCTTCATGTTAAAATACTCTTCCTTATCGGAATGTGTTTGTTCCTCCCATTTGGATAAATGATAAAGTATTCCTCTATATGGTGCAAGGAATCCTTCAATATTTGTGTAACCACCAACTACAAGGTAATAATAACCTAATAACCAAAAGAAACAGACGCCATTAGTGTTTTATAGTTCAACTAGACCTAACTTTACAAATTTGAGACTAACTAATAGTCTTACCCATTAACCCATTGGGCCTAATAATTGCATCATGTAGCACTCTAGAGTTTGATGTGGAGCCTTCCCACCCTGAAAACATATATATGAACTGCATATCCCCCGAACATACATCTAACACATGAGTTGCAACTCAACCCTTTTCTTGTCTGGTATCTTGATTTGTCAATTTCAGGTACACGCACATCAATGTGCGTTCCATCTAATCCTCCCAAGCAATTCTAAACAAAATAAAAATAAAATAAAAATAAAAAAAAGAAGCTTTTGTTAGTTTATACAAAGGGAATATCTAGTTAGAGTTTAGGGAAAACGATAATAGTATTAATATGCCTTAGAACATCGCCACCTATGATCCATAGAATCACTAGGCGCATGCTGAGGGGCTTTTATTAGGATACCTTGTAATCGCAAAATTCTTTGCAACACACTATTGAAATATCTACTTATAGTCTCTCCTGACCTATAAAATCTACACCAATACTACAATTCTTAGTATGATGTAATATTATTTGTAAGGTCATACACACCTGCTCCTCTAAAGACACCAAACCATCCTTTTTAACCCTCTCATCTTGACGAAGTAAGTCACATAATTTACCAAAAGTCCTTCTATCCATTCTCAATCCGTTGACGCATTCAATGTCACTATTCCCTATTATACCATCCAGATAACACAAACTAATCTCTTGTCTAGCAAGTGAACAATTTAGTCAATGCGCGTCTTTCAATATGTCTTTGTTTGGCCTTTAGCATCACCAACACAAGAATCGTACAAACGTAAATTGTATCTAAGTGAGACTTCTCTAACAATAAAATCAATAAAAGCTTCCTTCAATCCATATATATTCAAACTAAAAAACAAGATAGAAAAATATGAAGATATTATATATATATATATATATATATATATATATATATATATATATATATAATCACTGTTATTAAGGGCATTGACAAAAGAAGTAATTCTGTTATAAAATGAACTTGATCAAACGAATTCATGATATAAAGAGAACCAAAACAACAAATAGCAACAACAAAAATAAAACATCAAACAACAACAAAGAAAATAAAACAGAGTAGAGTTGAGTATCTTTATTTGTCTCTTTGTCAAGAACTTAGAGTCATGGCCCTAAATGCTAACTTACATACGGCATGCAATACTATTTTTATAAATCTCGTATGAAACTTTTTATTGGAATTTTGTAATTGGATTCTCAATACTTGGTTAAAAATATGGTGACCAGACTTGGCATAATTTGTATGTAACTTTTCATTTATCAAGTTTTTGTTTTGTCAATAATTGGTGTGTAACTTTTCATTTATTAGATTTATTTTTTTTTGGCCAAGTTCTACAACTAACTTGTAGGTTCTTCATTGACTTTGATGGAGACTAAACATACAAAACTGATTAATAAAATGAAGAAAACTAGATCTGACTAATAAAAGGAAAAAAACTAAAAATACAAATCTGAAACCATCATTTGCCTACACCAAGACAATGGCAAAATACATCCAAGAGAACACCAAAACAATTAACAAACAATAGCAATTCCAATTGAACGCAATCAATCACCACCGTATCGACATCCAGCTCGTAGGTTACAACACGTGCTCACACTCCAGCCGCACGGGATCAAACTAAGCCAATCTAATCCAGTCATAACCAATCAAATCATTGACATCCAACAAGGCCTTATTGTATTATATACCAAGTCGTTGAGTTATGATGTAATTCAGAATGATTAATATAAATAACATACGGAGCACATGTGAAACATCACAATTTTTTTTACACGGCACAACTTTTTGTAGAATCTACTTCATAACGTATTTTAATGATACGAACAGTCTATGTTTTTAAATCATCCACTATTTGTGCAACAAGTCGATCTGAGTTTACAAAATCTTCTGTTTCTTTTAACTTATAAACAGAGCGACAAAGAAAGTGACAAAGATCAACAATAATATAGGAATATCAGGACTTGACCTACAACAAAAGTAAAAACTTGTAATTCATTATGCGAGAGTGGTGTAGTTCAACTGTACGGTTAACAGTCCCAAACGGAGCGCCTCCGCCTTTCTCTGGGTTTATCTCTAGAACTGCAATCGGCACAAATGAAACTGCTCAACACCAATCAAATAAGTAAAGACATAAAAAATTCTAACCAAGCATCAGTTTAATTAACCTTTCGGAGGGTTTCTGACTTGAATTTTGTCCAGTGTTCGGAGTAGCAGTTTTATTTACCATTGATGTTGGAGCAGGAGCAGGAGTAATTGTACTGGTTGCCTGAGTTCTATATACATCACCACCTATTGAACCACCGGATACAAATCCTCGTAATGCCTGTCTGTTGGGCACACTAGAGCTGTTAGCTGAACCTTGACTTGGAGAGTTAGATGAAGCGGCAACAAATTTAGTCTTGAACTGAGACATCATTCCTGTCCTCTGAGGAGTTACTGCAACAGATCGACTAGGAACAGTATTCGATGAAGAACTATTGGACTCCGTATTATATCCAATACCCAGACCAAAATCCACCCCACGCACACCTCGACCACCGCCGCCCCTCCCTCTACCTTTCTTTCCACCTGCAGAATCCATATAATATCATCATTTGAATTGTAGAAAAAGGCTTATTTAATATGAAATTGCAAAAGAACCTTAAGAAAATTGAAATTTTAATATGATTAAAGTTTATAACTCCTTTTCTTGAATCACATTTTGATATGAATCTAACATCCTGATAATAAACAAGGTAAATCCCATTAAAATAGAGAATGTAAAATCTGAAATCTAACATAACATCTAAAGCTATCAAACAAGAAACATAGTAAGGGAAAGCAACAAAAAGTTCCACAGACAAGGTGCACCCAAAATAACTGCACATCCATGTAGGAGATGGAAACCAGTGTATTTATGATGGATATAAAATACAAAGCTACAAGCAGCAAGGCAAGAATTAAAAGTCACAAGACTGAAGAAATGATGCATGAGTGGCTCTCATAGTGTAAAACTTCTAAAACTAATGCAGGTGCAGCCACCTATCATGATAAGCTGTGCATTTATGTCTATGAGATATATTGGCACAAGGGAAAATAAGTGACAATTTACTAAGGGTCCATGTGGTAATTAAGATTTAGTACTTAAAATGCGATTTTTCTCTTAGTTCTTAAATGCAAAATTGGTTGGCCTCAACCGATGTATTGGTAGCCCAGAATGCAAGCGAGTACTTAATAATACACAAAAGTTATTACGTCCCCAGACTGAGCTTCATCTTCAAGTCATCTCTATGCTTCAATCCACAACCCAACAAGCCAACATACACCCCCAACAACCCCTTTTCTAAGCAGAGCATGGTATGAAGTAAAGATGGGACTACTAAAGACTGTCTAATTACTCTCTCCCTAAACTAAGCACATTTCCTGAAATTGACTATCTTGACGTTATGAAGTCAACGATCTCAAGATCCCTGTAATTCCAAGGACATACTAAAGCTTTCCAAAATAAGGCCTTGAAGACCAAATGGTCATCAAATCCATCTCTCTCGAAAGCGCACTCTAAATCAGAAGCAACCTATGCACCTATATATAGTAGAGTGAAGATAACGTAGTTTATTTGTGAGACAAACACCAGTAGGTGTAATTGTCCAGAATCCATATTGCATTAAAAAGAGCACGTTTTACCAGAGAACATATTAATAACTTGTATTCGCCTTAAATGCATTATAGGATTACAAACTAAGGTTATAACCACCATCTCTAAAACAAAAAGGCAAGTAGTTGGATGCATGTATAAACTCGCTATATAAACCACAAAAAAAAAATGTTAATAGTAATGCAAAATTACCTTCATCGCAAGGTCCATGAGCTCCGTGGAGACAATCTGACCAGCAGCAACCAAGCTATTAACCAACTCACCAGCAAAACGTGCCTCTTTCTGTGTAATAAGAGTGTACGCAGTGCCATCCTTATCACCAGCCCCGACCTGTTCTACCAATTCAATGGATGTGCATGTCCATGTCTTTTTGCAATATCAAAGTTCACAACTGACTTAATTGACTTGATGTCAAGACCACGAGCAGCAACATCAGTTGCAACAAGAACATGGTAAATGCCAGATTTAAATTTTTGCAAAATATCCATCCGAGATGCTTGGTCCTTGTCACCATGCAGAGTTGTGACTTAAAAACCTTTCTGAGCAAGCTGTGACTCGATCTCATCCACTGCAGCTTTTTTTTGAAGCAAATACTAAAACATCACCCTCATCAATCATTCCTGGTAACTTCTCAAAAAGCCAGGGCAGCTTCTCATCATCAGAAGGAATTACATGAACAACCTGAGTGATATCCTCATTGGCCATTCCCACCTCACCCACTGTAACTCTTATAGGATCTGAGAGAATCTCCCTAGCCAATTTTTCAACTTTACGGAGCATTGTCGCAGAAAAGAGCAATGTCTGTCGGTCTGGCCGAATCTGACCAACAATAGATCTAATTTGAGGCTCAAACCCAAGGTCAAACATCTGATCAGCCTCATCAAGTACTAGGTAAGTTGCCCTAAGCATTGTCAGTGCCTTCATTTTAAGCATGTCGATCAATCTCCCAGGAGTAGCAAAAACTATTTCACATCCTGCCTTAAGTTCTTTGAACTGATCAAGCTTAAGACATTCCACCATATACAGCAGAGATACGTATCCCATGTGATTTTGCAATTTTTTTGGACTCTTAAGTATATTTGGTGCGCGCAGCTCTCTAGTAGGAGCGCATATCACTCCAATTGGACCTTCTTCTTTTTGAAGCTCTGGCTGATCCATAATGTGGACAATCATTGGAAGGACAAGAGTGGCAGTCTTTCCAGAACCAGTTTTCGCAATACCAATTATATCTCTCCGGGAAAGAACTATGGGTAGAGCTACGCATTGTGTTGGTGTCGGCTTTTGGTAGTCTTGTTTTTTTATGGCAGCCATGAGTTGTGAAGAAAATCCACAATCTTCAAATGTCTTAACTGGCCTCGGTACATCAAACCCCGACGTACGGATGGCCAAGCTCTTCTTGTACTAAAAAACATCCTCCTCACTCATCCCTAAACAAGGAAACCAAAACACCAGTTAACTCTAGTCTTCCATTTCAAATCTCTCCTTGAGAACTTCTACCGGTCAATATTCTCTCCCACTTAAATTTAAATACTTTGCTACGCATTTCGACTAAATTCACACAAAAATTTAAAAAACAAATGTGAATGGAAAGAAAAAAAGAAAGAAACCAAATTCTCAGTTCGGTTGGAATTTACCTCCTCAAATCGACTCTTTCTCCTCGTAAAAATCCTTATTAAACGGCTCGTAGTCGATTGAACTATGATCGAGAGCTGAAATCGGCTCGATCTTCCTCTTGTCCAGAACAATGGGATTATCATCTGAATCGTACTCCAACAACCCGGCATCGACGGCCTTGGCGGTCGCATATACCTCTTCATCGGAGTCATATCTGGTGTGTAAAGCATCTGATGCCAGCGTGAGCACCACGTCCCTTTTAGCCCTCAGAAACCTCTCCATATGATCCTCCTCCTCATCGTCCCTGTACTTCTCGGCCTTCACTTTCAGCTTCGGCGGCGGAGCTGACCTCACCTCCGCATGAATCCCCTCCATGAAAGCATCCAGAGGATCGACTTCTTCATCACCGCTGCCAGCGTTGCCGTGGTTGTTGTCGTCACTCCCGGGGTCCTTGGAACCATCGTTGTCGTCGTAATCGATGTTGTCGAGGTCGGTGTCTTCGTAGTTGTCGTGGCTGTTTCCGTCGCGCGACGACGGAGGGACGTAGAGCCGCTGAGGGGCTTGCTGGGGCCGCCTCATGATTCTTTGATTTTGATCATGCTGTTTCTTTAGCAGTCTCTGTACAGAAACGATTAAGGGGATGTTTGTTTGCCTTTTTAGCTCTCACTGGACTAGCTTAAGTTAAAAGGTAGTGTAATCCGTGTTTGTTCACTGGCAGGACTAAGTTCAATGGGACAAAGGAGGACTCGCCTCGACTAAGGGCCAGTTTGGGATTGCTGTTCTTATTTTTAAAACTGCTTCTGTTGTTGTTTGGACCTCAATTTACATCATCGGCCCGTGCGATCAAGGCCGTTGAGTGAGCATTGCTCCACACCGTCGGATAGGAAAGTTAAGATAATTTTATTGTTGTTAGGGGATAATATTATGATTTTTAATCATAATAATGATCTTTTAATAATGAATTATCTTGACACTTTTTATACAAGATAAATGTGACGCAAACTATACCGAAGCAAGCAGAACAGTTCGATTTAATGTGGGATTCTTATCATTCGACGCGGGGATTAAGCATCATGCATTATGAGAAGAGTCCTAGCACGTGGTGGCATCAGTTGGTGATCAAGGTGGAGTCCAACTTGAAAGATTAATTACGTAAGCTAATGTGATGCATGCATGGGATAATTATTAGCAAATTCAAGGTTGCCAAATAGGTGAAGTGAATATCCTATGGATAAAGCTTGATATGCCAGGGCTTTGGGACTAGGATTTGAACGACAATGCTTATCTTTAGCAAAAGACGGAATTGGCATGCCATGATTTGTTATGTGGTTTTGGCTGAAATGCGTTAGCACCAAAGAGATTTGAGTGCTACGATTCTCATTGGATAATCATCCTCGCGTAACGATTATTATTTGTGGTGGTGATTGATGGTCACGGCCGGGTTTTATGCTAAGTTAGCTCTATAAATAGAGAGGCAGTGGCAACGGAACGAGACCCACAAAATCAATACAAAATTGCCCTGCGCAAACTCTCACAACTTGTGATTTTTCTTTTTTCCTTTTTCACTGACACATCTTCCGTTGGCATCAACAGCACTGTGGAAGCAACCGGTGATATATCTTAAGTCGGCATAGATAGCTCTGTCACTGTAGAGTCAGTCGGTCTCGCAGTCGCAGTACCTTCCGTTGGCATCAACAGCAGCACTGCGGCGAGAAGAACGATTGATTACCTATCCAAGTCTCGGTCGTCGAGAAGGGTTTCTAAATCCTTATTGGTCGAGGTCATCTCATCAGCCTTCTCGGCGAAGTGAGGTGTTACAGTTATTACATTCGGCACATTGAAAGCCGAATTTGATTTTGAACTTCGTAAGAATAGTAACCTTGTCTTCAGGTTCGAGAGCCCAAGAGGCCGAGACGTGTTCCTTTCTCGGCCGCAATGGCAAGACGCAGAAGTCAGTAGCGCGACCCAACGCAACATCAACAAATTTACTCCTCGGCCGAGCTCGGCCGACGAGTTGGCACGCCCCGCATTCACCGAAGGACGACGTAGTTAGCTCATTAATTACTCGGCCTGCGCGCCACGTAGGCTTTGTAGTTTTTAGGGTCAACAGTTGTGCTTTAAGAATAATCAGCTGTAAAATAAAGCAGCTGAACGTTTGGTAAACTGTATTTTTAAAACTGCTGTAAGTATGAAAAGTAGTATAAAAGCGTTTGGTAAATACTAATGTAAAATTTTGGAAATTTTGGAATTTGTAATGACAAAAATAGACATAACTAGAAAATAAGCCCACGTGTTGCAGTGGGAACCACTATTTCAGGCGTAACTGCATGAATAAGACACATTTTACCTGAAAAAATTCAACACAATCATGAATGAACAGAGGGACACATGAGTGAATGAGATCGATAAGATAAGTAGTTTGACTTTTATATACATTCCACTAAGTTGACATGTAAAGACATTGCACAATTAGTAGGAAGAAACTGAACATTCTTGATCACAAAGACATGGTTGCCAAAAAAAGTTCTGTTTCCATAAGAAACATAAGCAACATGCAATTCACACATATTTTTCCCTTGTAGTTAAGAAGGCAAAATATGTGTCCTATAGGGCAGGCACCTATTTCAGCAGTTAATAAGAAAACATAGAAAGCGTTCAGTACTTGTTCAAGTAGCTAATTTTCCAAGCACAAATAGTTCAAATTAGTGATTAATCAACCAGATAGTTAGTCTCAATGATCTCCCAATACCAAGGACATCGTGATTAATCAACCAGATAGTTAGTCTCAATGATCTCCCAATACCAAGGACATCATACAGAAATTCAAGTATACCTCATTAACTCTCAACTCCTCAACTCCATCACTCTTCCCCCCATTGTTTCTAATTCACCTCTCCTTCGAACTCTTCGACTACAAATTTATATATAGAAAATTGAATTGTCCATTTCAAATCATATATACATAGGCAGAAAAGCAAAAACTAAACTCTCACCACATAAATTAATCGGTAACCAAACAAAGAAAAATTTTTGGAGACCAGAACAAATCCAATTGAACTTTCATGCTGACTGATTGTAATTGAAAAAAAAAACATATATTTAAGTGCCCAAAATTTGAGCTTTACATCATGTTATGTTCTACCACAAACAATTCCTTGGCTGTTAGGTAATTTATGTGGTTTTCGATCTATAGTTGTACTTATATACCAAAAAAGTAAAATAGTCGAACACAAATGAAAGAAATTAATAAAAATTCTAAGTTAGAGTTGTTAAAAGTTCACTTTCATTTGTATAATTCAAACTTCCACATATATTCATATACTTCACCAGTTGTCAGACACTGCTAATTGCCAGGATAGCAAGATAACGAATTTCGTGAACGAAAAAAAAATGCTATGCAACTTCAACTTACCATGCCAAAGAAGCTCCATAAGAGTAGTAGCATCCTCCTGATTGCATGCATCAAAAGCATTGCAACCGTAGATCCTAGAAATTATAAAAATTCATCTAGTCAAGAGACAATGTGATAGTTGTGGGAAGGTGACTATGCAACCAATAATCTAAGATATACCTCACAAATTTGCGATTCCATCATAATTTCACACAAAAAAAGATCAAATTTTGATTCAAACATCAAACAAAAACAATCCCATTTGTTACAGATAGGACCAACCAAATAAAGAATCTATCAATATGATTTTCAACCTAACTATAAAAAGGAGCTTCATAACAACACAATCAATATCATTTCAACCCAACTGAAAGGAAACTAATTGTATGCCATAAATTCCATGGGCTATTTGATTTTGCAGATTAAAAAGAATTGAAGAAATACTGAAAATTACTAAACCCCATCACAACATATCATCAGTGAAGAATTAATTATTTATAAACTCAAGCTTTGATAGTTAAATGTTAAGGATCAGTAATGATAATATTGACGCTTTTTAAATTTTATAATACCTCATCTATAAACTGGGACACCTTGTGCTTAAACAGCTTCAGTTCTGTAAACCGGACTTCTTGAAGAATTTAGCAGATCTGTAATAACATTAAATGAATGCATTAAAACCTTTATCTATTACCTGCCAAACCACTCAATGAGCACCCAAAAAAATGGTGATATTAATATAGAAGATAAGGATAAAAAAGATTTAGTGAGTAATGACACGCCAATTACATGTCCAGACACCCCTTTTGTGCGAAAGCAAGTAAAAGTGACACTATAATATAGGTTTCATTGTGAAGAGAACTTGTATAAAGAAAGGTAATCACTTCAAAACTTATTTCCATTGATAAACATCAACATTAATTTTGCATGAGACATATTTCCAGTTTATTTAGAATGACACCATGAGATTTACTCCATACGATTTACAGCCAAACAAATAGCATAAGATAAAGAAAACATCTATGTTTCTCATTCTGACTTGGCCAAATGGCCTAAACTATGAGAAATTATCAAATTTGGTTCTAATTATTATTGTTAGGGCAGGAGTTTTGCTGGATGGAGCCCATTTCATCCAAGTTCTAATTATAATTGTTGTAATACACAGAGTTCAGTGCAGAGGAGTTTGATATATAACTATTAAAATTCACATAAAATTCGGTTTCCATGTAAAGAGTTCACGTTTGTAGAAGCAAAGCCTAAAAAATAACTAACCTCGCCGACAACATTATATTGTTATCCTGAGGCGCCCCACTAATCCTCGCAGGCTGGTCTTGTTGCAGCCTCTCGAAGTCTCTCATCAGCCTCTTCCTTGTAGGAGTTGACATCATTAATTTGTTACCACCTATATATCATCAAACCAATTTAATAAACCCTATTTTAAGATTAACTATGCGTTGAGCGCAAAACAATTTCATCTTTTTTTTCCAACACCTATCAAAATATCAAAAACCACTTGAAATATACCAATGATAAGTCAACAATCAAAATCCTCACATAATAATTTTTAATTGATGGATAACCCAAAAGAGAGATACGCAAACATATAATGGTCACAAAAGTAAGAGTAAAAAATTCAAACCTCAAGAATATGATAATATTACACCAAAGATGCATGCTTAATTAAAAGTCCTGCCAAAGGAAAGTCAAAAACTAAAAGTCAGCAAAATAAAATTTAACAAAAGATTTAGTGCCAAAAGAAGTAATGCATACAATTTACCTATTTTATAATGAATCCAATTCATAAATATTTGGAGTGTAGGCGTTTCTCCCTAACACCACCCAAAATATAATTCGTTAATAGATTTAATTCATTCCATATATAATCATCCTAGGGTTATTGTGTTGCCCTCTTTGTGTTTTTCTTCTCCGAATAAATATGGAACCAAACCTATGAACTGTCTATCCAACTCAATACACAAAAACCAAGCATTATCAAAATAGGTAAAACTTAGATTTCTGCGTACAACCCAATAATATCGATCAAATTTTCCTTTGTATTTAAAGTAATTTCATCCCAAAAAGCAACATAGCAAACCTGCACCCATACCGTACTCATAAGAATATATAAATTCTGTAGCTAATTAGTAATACAGCTACCACCTAAGTTCCTTTGTGAAGAAAAAAGAAAATAACAAAAACTAAAATTTTAAGGGGAAAAAAATGAAACTTTTTTTTCCTGTAAGGGACCATACCAGCACCCGATTCAATCGAGGGTTTTTACAAATCCAAAACTACAAAAAAATTGAGAAACAAATTTAAAGTTAAGATCGATGAACACCGTACCTTGAAAACGGTAAACATGTAAAATCCGACCACAACTTTTCTTAACAAATTTCTCATTTTTTCCTCTCATCGAAACACAAAATCCGAACATCCTGAAAACTTTATTCTCTTTTCGTTTCGGGTTTCAACCTAAAACCCTAATTTGAACCAAAATGCATAGAAAGAGGAAGCACATCGGATCTAATACAAACCTTCATTCTGATCATTCTCTTTGAACTCGTTGAATTATATTAAACTACATATAGGGAGAGGGAAAATAAAATTGCCCACGTGCTGCTGTGGGTTTTGAAACTGTAATGCAGGACATACTATGAATATTTTCGACAGAAAGACAAATTATTTAGATTCAGTTCACATCAACATACTGTGCATAATGAAGAGAGTGTATATTTGAAAGTTTGAATTAATGAAACATGCAACAACAAAATATACTGTTTTTATCCCCCCCCCCCCAGTCCTATAAAAACAGAAGCATATGATGTTTTCAATTTAAGTTTTATGTCGTTTCACTTCCGCTAAACAATCTAATTTCCGCTGTCCTACTCTGTCCTACGTCACAGAACAAAAAGAAGGTTACCTAAGAATTGATGCATTCATCTTCTAAACATGCAACAGAAAAGCACTCATGCATAAAAAAGGGTACATTGGAAATAAATAGATCAACTTAAGTGCTAACAGCCAATCAACAAATTGAACATAATTTGAAGTTTTAATAGAATGAGTTAAGAAAAAGGAAGCTTGGTTTCCACATGAAAGAAAAGATCCACTTGAAATGGTAGTCTTTCAAGATGTTTTCTGGTATTTATGCGAATTCTGAAATGCTATAAATGTAAAAGTTACCTATAAAGCTTTTTCTGCGTTGGTTTCTGTAATCACTCTGCAGCATTTGCAGCCAATATCATGAGAATAACATGTGCCCCATTAATTTCAAACGATAAACCTTTATTAAGTGTCTAAGACCGAGTTGTATCCCACGTGCTTAATCAACAACAAACATACAAAGCAGTTATCATATATCATAAAATTCCAAATCTTAACTTGTAAAGTTTCAAGTGCTCAACAAATTTCGAACAATGTATGTTTCAATACTAAAAAAAAAAAAAAGAAGACATGCATCAAAGACTTTTAGGTGGAAAAAATATGCATTGGCTGAAATAGAGATAATTAGGATTTAAAATGTTAAAAATTTTCTTTTTGGCTCACTAATTAGATGCAAAAGTGAGATTGTATGAACAATTTTACACCCGGAAACATGAACCACACAGAATCACAACTGATCTAACAATGAGAAAGTATATAAGATGAAACACTAACAGAAGGCTAAAACACTCTTTTAATTGATCTAACAATAGGCTAATAGGATTAACTAAAGCATTAGAGACTGCAACAATGAGAAAGTCTGAAGATTAAAGTTATTGTTGAATATCCTTGAAAAACATTTTCAGTAAATCTGTTCAGGAAAATATAGAAACTTAGGATGCTATGCAATTCCATCATCCAGGATAGCACATATTTACCTGGAATCCAACCTTAAGCCAACATTTTTCTATCTATAGCATCCATCATACCTAACACAGTTTAAAAAATATTGACTTGTGTTCTAAGCAACATAATGCATTCACATTTCAATTGTCAAAGGGCATCACAATAATCCCGGATTAAAGATATTAAAAATCAGAACTTCTTCTCCAAGTTTTCATTCAGTTTATTTCACTTGTCCATCATAATTTTTTTCAAAGAATGATCAAATAAAGACAATAGCATGCCAAAGATTAAAAACCCTCATTTCAAACTTTGCTAATGCATAGCTATGTTTGGTTTTCTTCTCCGGAGACCAGACTGAGAGAGGAGTCAAGTTCTCTAGTACACCATAAATCTCCCGTTCGAGAAACTATCACCACCTCACTCGCCACTCCCTCAAGGCACCAGCTTGCCACCACCCTCATGTCTCACTCCCTCTCTACTACTCTCCCTATTTCCCTCACCTCTCTCTCTCTCTCTCTCTTGATACTGTGCTCGCTGCACAGAAATAGCAAGGCGACCACCGTCGCCATTTTTCACGGAGAACTACGCCACCACGAAACCACCTCCATTAATCTCGCCACGTACACAACTTTTACCATCCCTGAACCAACCCTCTGCAAACTGCCATTATCCCTTCTAATTTCAGTTCTTGTATTTTTTGTATGGTAACCATTTCTTGCACACTCAAATATTTATATACCAACTGAGAATAACAATATAAATCCCACACCCACCTCTTTTTCCCCACTTGAAAAATTCACCAAAAAAGCTACATTAACCACCATAGTTTAAGAATCCAGACCCCAAATTTCAATCTAATTAATTAAATTACAGAGGATTCTATCTACCTCATGAAAACAAATATGTTCAGTTAAAGAAATGCCCTAATCACTGCATCTTAAACTACTTCTTAACTATGTCAGCCATACCAATCTAATAAAAAATCCATGTTCAATCAATTCTTATTAATTCCAACTCCAAGTATTTCAGCATCTAGATTATAGAAAAATCACAACAAAACAAAACTCAGAACACCCAGATTCCAATCTTGGTGCTAAAGCACACTTTGTTAACCTCACCTTCATCAAGTCCATGATTCCTACCATGAGATCTTTCTCTCTATCCAGACTTGGCTTCAGCTGCAAGATCAAAATAACGAAGCATTCAATTCCTTTTCTATACTCATAAAATTAAAAATTAAAATATGTTATAATTGACTCGGAATCTTCACATGTATTATGAAAGCATATAAACAGATACATTTGAAAACTTATAAACGCTACCTACTAAAGTTGAAAAGTAGCTAATTAAGATCCAAGTTCTAGGCATCCAGTGAGCCTTCCAGGGAAAGATGGCCCTATGGACTTAGACTTTGAAAACTGAGGCTTGTTTTGCCTTGTAATTGTATAATCAGTAGCATCCTTATGGATTGCAATTGTATGATCAGTAGTATCCTTATGGATTCCCAGATTAATCTTCAAAATTTTGTTCTCATCCGTTAGCTTATGCACCTGGGATAAAAGCCACTCAATTGTTTCACTATTCTCCTTGTTTCTCCTTATCAACTCAGCCTGGTGCTGCATATTTTCGTCAATGAGCTCTGAGATCTTTTCGTGCAACATTTTATCTTTTTCAACCACATTACCATCACATTCTACACCATGATCAATATTATCTTCTTCCATGTATTCTTTGAAAGTGCACAAACCAACCTTTTTTAGGACATACCAGCATTTGTTTGTTTTGATGGCTCTGATTTTGGTTTCCGTTTTCTCTTTTGTGGTGTCTGGTCCATATGCACTCCAAAACACTAATTTGAGTGCCTACACAGATGAACATCGCATAAAAATCATTAAAAAAAATCCAAAACAGCAGCAGAGATAAAAAAAATGATAATAATTCTAAAAAAAAATTAAATCAAAAGCTAAGACTAACTCACAGGAAGCTCTGTGAGTTAATTTTTGGGCAAAAAAAATTCTATCAATGCATTCTCAGACAAAAACTTC